CACCCACCCCACCCCAAACCCCAAAAGGTTCATGCCATGGGGACCTGGAGCTTCAAGGGCATCGCAGGGGAGCACTCAGTGGTGCAGCTGCTGCCCTCAGCTCTGGAGGGACGCCTCTACACAGCAGAATCCAAGGTGCGGCCCCACCGCCCCCGCCGCCGCCGCCGCCGGGCAGCGGCTTCCCCTCCCCCGTGCCGGGGCCGAGCCGTCGTGCGTCTGCAGGCGCTGCGGGCGGCCACGTGTCGGACCCCTCCGCGCGCCCCTCCTGCCCCGCGCGCGCCGCTCCCCTCGCATCCGCCCCCTGAGCGTGCGCCGCCGCCTCCTGCGCATCCGCCCCCTGCCGCCGCGCAGCGCTCGAGCAAGGCGGTGTGCATTCATCCAGAGGTGGGGCTGCTGTATGAGTCATCGGTTGACATGGTCAACGTCGACGCGATATTGTTTGACCCATCGACGCTCGACGGCCCCGCGGCGGGCGGCAACGCCAGCGTCCAGCCGCCAGGCGCGGCTCAGGAGAAACCGCCATGGGCCGCAGGGGCCGACGGCGGCGGCGGCGACAATGGCGGCGAGGCCGGCGCCGGCGGTGGCGAGGCCTGCGCCGACGCCGAGGCGGCCTGAGTGCGGGGGAATCTGGGCGTGCTGCGGGTTGGATGGGAGGCAGGTCGTGCTGCCGGGGCGGCCCGCTGTGTGCTTCCTTTGCGGGCTGTTCTTTATCTGATCTGGCGGCTTGAATTTCGGGACGCAAACCTGCAAAGAACTGCCAGCTGCGGCGACCAAAGAATTGATGGCCGGCCCGGCCGGCCTGGCCATGCCCCAGGAATCTGCCGTCGTGCCGGCCCGATGCTCCTCCGCCGCACGTATTGCTCACTGCCTGCAACAAAGGGGAGCCTGGCGGCGCAATCATCTCTGTCGGTGCGTTGTCACCGCGGGCCCCGGGCGGCGTGTCGGTCCGCCCCTGTTCTCTGGTTGTTCTGTATCGCCATTACCATCATCGCCACCACCAACACATATCTTCCATGGCCGTGAGCCATCCTGCCAGCTGCGGCGGTGGCCTCGCCCCCTTGGCCAACTTCACACTTGCTTTCAGGAGCCCACCCCTGCAGGGGCGCGTGCACCCGTTGGGTGGGCGCGCCCTGCACCCATCCGGAACCCGCGCCTGCCACCACCACAAACCGGCGCCTTCGGCCTTCATCCCGAAGCGCTGCCTTCATACACGTTGCCACATGGCTCGATTTGGCGCCGGTTTTGCGGCCAGGGCTGCTCGGCCTGGCTCACACCCGACTGCTTTGGCCCACCGGGGTCGCGCGGTCGCCTGTTGTTGTTTTACACGCCCACTTATTGTTTTTGCACCTTGCATGCAGGCATGTAACCAGGGATGCTTGCACATCAGGGTTTTAATGAACTCATATGCTTTCACACGTGGCAGCCGACATAGGTCACAGGCTGCACCAGTGTGTGGGGTGCAGTACCACAGCACGTCACCCTGCCACCAAGCGTCATGTCCTGGTCAGCGTCACTCGAAAGAGATTAAGCGTCAGGCCGACTGAATTCTGGCGCCATAATTGAATCAATGTTATTTCCCCTTTTACTCCGCCGCATAAAGCTACTGGCAAGCTCTGGCTGTGACCGATCGGTCTCATCAGTCCTGCATGAAATCGACGGGGCTCGGCGCTAGGCGCCATCTTTCCATGCGCTACGACTTCGTGCGTGGACAACCTGCACGGCCCCACCTGTCGCGCAGATCGCGGGCGCCGGGCTCGCCCCCATCCGCCACAAACGACAGCCGCGCCGCTCCCGCGCCGCAGTCGCGCTACGATGCGACCGTTGAGCTCATACGGGCCCTGATCAAGCAGGTAAGGATGTCTTAATCCAACACAGCGGCCCCAAGTGCCGCATGCACGCTGCATCCACTTGCTGTGCGCGGCGGCGGCCTCCGCCAAAGAGGCCGCTACCACGGCGATATCACGCGCTACCCCATGCTAAGCGGCGTCAGCCTGACCACGCGTGAAACAAATAGTCTCCTGCCACTCAGAAGGTCAACAAGCATCCCTGCATGGGGTTAAACACGCTGCTCAGCCGCCTATCACGAGCCGCTCGAGCAGGGCCGCCCCGACGGCGGCCTTGGACGGCGCCGCGCGGTCAACACCTGGACCCAAAAGAGTCTGCCCCTCACAAATCCCAAAACCCCAGGCAGATGCCAAGGCGCTGCCCGTAGTTCGTGACCTGGTGACTCCCTGGCTGCTAGGACCCCCAGAGCCGCTCCAGGGTGGGCATTGCATCATATGCTACGTAGCATGCAGCGAGCAGCCAACCCTTCGGCCGCGAGCTCCCCTCATGAAACCCGGCCCGGCCGCGCCCCCGCCGCCGCCGACCTCACCCCGGCGTCACCGCAGCCTTTCCCCATGCAGCGCAGCGCGGCGCGCCGTCACCCTCTCGTTGGCAGCCGGCCCACGCC